CCCCAAAACCCCAAAACCCCAAAACCCCTATGTCTATATCTTTAGAATATGATTTACAATAAAACACTTAAAATAATATCATTAAACGCCATACTGATTCTCATAATACTCAGCAATGATTTCCTCCCTTTCAACAGGCTCACCAATGCCATCCTCAGTATATTGATGATTGAGGATAAATCTTCTGGTATTTTCTGGAATCTAAATACAAGACTCTACTTCATTTATAAGCTTACTTCTACCTCTTATTCTCAATCTTTTCAGCTCATTGATGTTTGGACATATCATCACATTCTGTAGCTTCTCTTTATCCTCAGAGACTACCTACTTATAAGACTGCCATCTTTATATTGATGGCTGAGAGCTTATTCTGAATAGCTTTCTTTGGCTATTATTATTTATATAATCAGCTTAAGTAATTGAGAAATCCTTCAGAGTTAGTCTATTAGTGCTCAAATTAGACTACTCCTAGCAAACAATATTTCTAGATGTATTGGGATCAAGATTACTCACCATTATCCCTATACCTCTTGTATTTTCAGCTGGAATGATTCTTTAAACCAAATTCGTACTTGATACGTTTTTCTTATGATGGATTGTTGTATTATTATGCTAAATCCTTGAGATTTCGTGGCTATAGTAACCCTAGTGACCATTAACTTTAGCTTTCCCATTAGGCGAGTAATTAATTTAATGGCCATTAAATGTTTTGTAATTTTCACCTAGCTCTTAATCCTGTTCAAAGCAGTCATCCTTTTCTAAATCCTTTTCATAGTCATCATCCTCTTCATCTGATGAGTATTTTGGCTTTACAAAGAGCTCAGGAATGTTCTATCTTTTGGGTACAATCACAGCGTTTATTGAAGTGCATGAGGGCAGATACTGCTAGGATTTTCTTTAGTCATCTTAATCAGATTATCTCAGAGAAAAGATCCAACCTACATTTTGATTCATGTGCTACAAGTCACGTAAGTGATTAACTCCTTTAGAGAGTTGAACCTTCTCTTGATGATGCTTATCTCTCATCATAACTGACTGAAATGTTTGGGTATTTTGCTTCTTCAATTTCTTTAGAGTAGGTTTTTTGTTTGAATTATCAAAGATTCTCTTATTTATTTTGAAAGCTCTTTACTCCCACTCCATTTAAGTCTCTTAATGCTACTTCAGCACTCTTTCTTGCTTTATTTCTTTGAGCAAGCTGCCTATTGTTGACACTCTAGTTAAATTTGTCACAGCAGTTATGCCTGTATTGTTAAAGTTTAACTATGTAGTTGATAGATTCTGACTTAACTTCATTCTATCTTGGATGCTGCCTATCAAATCTCTTACACTTTAGTCAGGAAACTTGATTGATTTATGCTTGTGAGTCTTTTAAGTTTTCTCCTCTGAAATAGTACTGATAGCCATACCAGCTGCTCCTTGCACGCTAGTCTGATTAGAGCCTTAACTCTAATGATACTTTTTATGTCTTACAGATGTTACTTCTCTAGAATCATCCCTAGAATTTCAGTGCTAAGATAACAGGTCATTCAAATTATTGCTATTGTTGTTTATGTGTTATTTTATCTTATTTTTATTTGCGAGACCTCCCATAGATCTCATTGTATTCTTATTAGTCAATAGCTTTAGATTCATTATGTTCTTGACCTTGCCTTCACCCTCTCTGTACATTTCCTCATTTCCAATCATCTTTCTCGAAATAATTCTACCTTCGTGATCAGTTTATATACCTTGAAACTTTGGACTTGTGCTTGTGAAACATTTATAAGCCTTGTTATCAATTAAGATATTTTGTATTGAATTTTTACGGTCCATCAGCGGTTGCAAGAAAGTCTCGGGAGTATCTTGATACTCTTAACGAGGGATTTTTGAAAGCAAAGATTATTGAGATGCAGCTCTTTTATAGAGATAAACCTTTTATTGTCTATAGGTGGTGCTTTGGGGCTCAGGAAGCATGTCATGTTCTAGGATTTCTCTGCTCTCATTCATAGAGTAAATGGGTGAGTAGTTGAAATAGTTATTTGAGGCATCTTTTACTGCTGAGGAACGTCTTTTATGCACCATTATGTTCTAGTATTGATCCCCAGATTTGTCAAATGTAGACTGATGGTACTAGTTAAATTGCAGCAATATCTACTTGGGCTGATACGTCCCTGTTCTTTATAAATTCATTTTTTCTTCAATTTAATAAAAATTAAAAAGGTGAATTTATAATAATTAGTTTGGGAGTATATCAATAATAATGCAGGCAATTTTAGAGCTACAAAGACAACTTAAAGCTGTATAGCAGAGCAAGGGCGCCTAAGCCAATAAACTAAATGAGAGAAATGTTGTTGATATCATCAGAAAATTACTAGAGGATAATAAGATTAAGCTTATATATACCTAGGATGGAAAAGAGTATCTGACGAATGAGCAACTTGAAAAGGAAATTAAGGAGCTTCTTCAAGAGAGTGGTGGTAGACTGAGCGTGCTTGAGATACCAAGCCACTTAGGTGTTAATATCGATGTGGTCGAGAGAAGTGTAGACTAGATTGTCAAGAAAAATAAACTAAACCTTATCAATGGACAACTGATCTCAGAAATATACATAGATTTGATTATGGAGGAAGTCTATGAGATGCTAAGTGATAAGGGACTCCTTGTATTGCAAGAATTGACTACTAAGTATAATTTGCCCTTAGATTTTATTAAGGAAAGTATTCAACATAGGATGGAGTATAGTCTGCCTTAGGGTTGCCAACTATAAGGGAATAGTCTTATGACTAAGACTTTCGCTGAAAGATAAGTATGCAAAGTCAGAGGAATACTAAGAGGAGTAACTAGACCTGTTGCCTTATCTGCAATTGCTACTTAATTTAAGGTAGAAGAGCAAAAATTAAAAAACATCACTGACCAATTGATTAAGGAAAGCCAAATTAAGGGAAAAATATAATAGGGATTATTCATACCCCAAGCATTCACTTAAATGCAGGAAGGAGCTTGTAGGGCATTTTATCAATAGAATAGATATATAGAGTACCAAATGCTCAGCAAGCTATAAGTGCAGAAGCCTAGAGAATTTATTGAGTAAGTTATCGGAAAAGATAAGGGCAACTTTTTGGCTAACTTTTATATCAGCAAAGACTTTGTTCAACAAATCGAAGGCCAAGTTTAAGAAATTGTAGAAAATGGCTCATATCTAGATTTAAGCCATATTGTTCCATCACCTTTTAGAGATTAAGACATTTAAGATTTAGTTAACATTGTCGGTGATCAATGCAGACTTTTGTCGAGCAATTAACATATAGTATCAGAAAAGTTTATTCAAAAATGCCTAGAGGAATTTAAAGTCTCATCTGAATAGATTGCAATCAAAAATATTAAGAAAGGAATTAAGCCTCAAACTGAAGAATAAAAGAAAACTCAATAAGTTCAGTCAACAAATAAGAAGGGCAAAGGTGGAGGAGGTAAAGGCGGTAAAAAGAAGGGAAGACAGCAAGATGACAATGATGAAGAAGTCAAAGAAATTACTGTTGAAGATTAACTACAAATTAACATTACTGAGGATATGATCAAAGAAACTCTTTCAAGTTCTAGCAATTTCGTTGAATTTAAGGATACACCTAACAGAGATGACTATCTATTTGATACTCTAGCTGAATTTCTGCATATTCCTCTTAACAAGCAATACTAGATGATATTTATTGAAGTTTTTGCAAGACAATCGACAAAGCAAAATGCATCAGTTAACAAAAACTTAGAGTAAGAAGTAGAGGAAAATTTCCAAACTCTGCAATTCATGTTTAAATAGCTAGAACTTTTGAGGAAAATAATGACATAAAATGATAAGGAAAAAGAATTTGACGTTATAAGTGCACCTGTAAAGGCTCATTGGTGCAAAACTGATGCTTAGGTTATGCTAAATAAGCTAACAATGGTTCAAGCGTTTTACAATAATGTTGACTTGAATAATCTTGCACTCTCTAAAGATCCTAAAACTTAGCAAAATACTGTGCTTAATGCCAATGATAGAAAGACAGTAGCGAAACAATTTTAGAAGCATGTTACTGCTATCTTTGAACAAGCAGGGTTATATCTGTCAAATAAAAACTTCGATGATTTTATGACTCATTTATCAGACAACATTAAGAATCTCGGAGCAAGAATTAAGCAGACTGATAAAAAGATAGAGAAAAAGATAAAGGATCAATTAAGTAAGGAGTTAAAAGATCAAATTACAGTTGATAAAATAGAAAGTCCTCTGTTTGACTTCAGGTCATTACTAATCATTATTCTAAATAACAGGCTGCTTGAAAGTGGAGTGTATTTGAATCTTCCTAATGAAGAGTGGGCTTGTAAGATAATGACTAATCTTCTAATAAATCATGGTATTGAAAGTAATATGGATGAAAAGAAGAAAGATGACTTGGTTTAGGCAACCTAGTACTATTCTTTGCATTGTTGGACCAAATCTGAGGACAAAGAGAAAATTACAGAGATAAAGGAGCAAAGTCAGAATCTTTTACTCGAGCTTATTAAGTGATTTAATTGATTTAAGATCAATAAAGAATTTTTAAAATTTTGCTAACGTAGAGTTTCGGGGTTTTGGGGTTTTGGGGTTTTGGGG